CTACCAGAAAGAAGGTACATGGAGAAAGGAACTCCAGTTGTTGCTCCTGTTCCATCAACTTCCCATGTTGCTGCAGCTTTGAAATCTATGCAGCAATTTCAGCAGAAAAGGAAATAGATAAATACAAGAGTCTTTGTGATACAACAACAATTACGCATTCCCAATCTAATTTGGGAAATTTGCCATGAAAATGAAGCTGAAATAGCTCTACAAATATATCCATTCTTTACAACAAGTAGTGAAGAAAAGAATACAAGGAGTAAGATATTAATCTATGAAGAACTACAAAGATCCAAGCAAGAACTTTATTGAGGTTACCCGATTGACGATTGTAGTAAAGCATAAATTGACACTGTCTACTGTCAACAGCTTTCTGGAGATAATAGAGCAAAAATGAAGTTAAATCTATCAAAAAAGCCAAAATCATAATTTCTTGAAAAGGAGGGTATAGTATGACGGTTAACAACAGCTGCACAAGTCTTGCAATTGGAGTCAATATTTTGATACTTTCTCCTAATTGAAAAAAGCGCTAAGAATAACTTTGTTTTATGGTCCTGGAGGTACAAGATAGCTGAAGCCAATGGAGAAAGGAAACAAGTGAAACAAACAGCCTCTAGAAATTACTGATTTCATGGGAGAAGCAAGATGGAAGACGTCTTTTAGCTCGTTCTGTGTATTTGTTGGCTCTATTACATCCATATGATCACACTAATCAGTCAGAAATTATTAAATAGTTCAAATAAAGAACCACAGAGCAAAATATCAGTGAACTAATCTAGGAATAGGTGGTACCGAAGGACTGCGAAATTACCATGGTTGCAAAAATCAATGCCTGGGACCAGACCTTCCACCCAAACTATCTCTCCTTGTGAAACGGAAGCAGCAGAAGCAACTTTATCTTGGAGTGTATCATATTCGGGTACTGAAATCATAGGTATTTAAATTATAGACAGAACTAGATCTCAATCTACCAAGAAAGAATAAGGTTCCTTAATTGGAGAGCGGACATTGCTGGAAGAAACATACTAAAGATAATGAACATTGACCTCACCTTTTGCAGACTCTCCATTAGATAAACTGCCGCAACCATTAGTTTGTATTGCAGAATTGATGACTTTGCTAGAAATGTCACTATCTTGTCCTTCTGAATTCATAGGAAATATATAGCAGCGCGGAAAAGGGATATTTAGTGCTCGACTCCAAAATATGGAGTTTGCCCTATGATGTCCACGAGATTAAAACGTGTCAGCAGCTTACATAAATTTAATATAATATTGAACTGTGAAGATGAGGGGCCATTGTTTAGGAAGAGAATGACTGTCTAGTTACTAGAAAGATGCATACCAAAGGAAGTCTTCAAACTTCACATCTCTGCCAAAAAAGCAACAAGTTCAGAATAAGATTTCTAAATAACCTGTGCAATTTTAAAGTCCAACACATCATAAAAAACACAAGACCAACATATTGGGATAACGAGCTGTCCAACTTCAGAAAGATGAAAGTGCCAACTAAAGAGTACTATGTAACACTGTTCGCACTGAATCTAAGTATACTGTATACTAATACAATATGCATTCTCCACTATATAATGGTGAGTACAGCATATAGCTTTTTATCTAGCATGAATTGTTCAAGAAACCATGAATCCATCAGTCGTGAATGCAGCATAAAGACCAACCATGAAGGCATTGAAGTACGTATTATGTCATTTTCCACCTGAAGGAACACTGACGCCTAATAAGATTATAATTGAAAGTACAAGCAAAAAGCAAAAAGGTCTCCATAGTGACAAAAATGAAACTGAGGCTACAAAGTTTTCCTGTGTAGATAAGAAGTGGTTAGCACGTTATGTAACATCCTTTGCACCTACTCTGAACACAGTTATGCACTATGTATTCTCTAATGTAAAAATGGTGATTAGTGTATAACTTTGTTTTAGCAGTATAATATTGTGCAGGCAAGGGTGAATTATACACTTACCACTAGTTATAAAAGATTGATATGGCACATACCTTTCTGGATGTCCATCAAGAGTTAAAAGCTTCTTAGCCAACCTTTTCACCTTTTCATCAAATAAAGACTGCAGTGTTTTTTTCTGCAACAGAAACCTGCTTAAGTTCTTATGTGCTTGGTAGAGAATGTGAAGAACGAATTAACATTCACACTAAAGTAGTAAAACAACAAGCTATCCAAATCCAAGAGGAGAAGAATGCCGTCAACTCATTTTCTTAAGTTCACAATGGCATAGTGGCAGGTATCACTTATCAGAGATTTATGTATGGCCAAATAGAAAGACCTTATTAAAAGTACACCATGCATATAGAAATAATACCTGCAACTGAGCAGCCCGATACAATGTGGTTCCTTTAAGCTCTAAAAGCTCGTCTTCAGAAAACCAAAGTGGATTCCCGAATGTGGTTGGAAGCATATCAAAGTACCTGTAGTCTTCTAGCAATTATTGCCTTAGTTTTCTGTTTAGAAATGAACAATGATTAATTTAATACTTACGGCTTCCATGAAGAGTTTTCTCGTAGGTGCTCCACAGTTAGAAATAAGGTAATCAAGAGTCTATCATCTACTTCCCCTTCCTCAAACATAGCCCTACATTCAGGTCCAAGAAGAGGATCTTGAAGTACACCCATTGGAGTTATAGCCAAATCTAATGGAACCACCAGTAGTATCCCTGATACAAATTGACACAGCAAAATAAGAACAAGCATGATTGAGAGCAATTTCCAATTTTTTCCCCAAACATTATACTTTTTCATCGATCACAAAACAACACTACTACAATACAAATGAAAAGGCGCCCCACTATACAGGATTCATACAGATTTTCCTTCCGTTATTTTTGATAAGTAATGTTTTACATAAACACGAGTACATCTTTAAACAACAAAATCCTATATACAAAAGAAAAAGATGAAATAAAACTGGGGACCAGTAATTTCCAAACCACATTAAACAGAACCAAAGATCATTCCTTTTTCACCAGTAGCAGAGGATCATATTGAACAATAAGTGCTCCTAAAAGAGTCTTTCAATCAATCAAAACATTCTACAGGCTCAAAGAAATATAACAGAAATTTATATGAATGTCGAGAATTTTGATACTCAAACTCCAGAGTTGAAATAAGCAGTATCTCCCTCATCTTCACCCTAAAGACCCAACAGAAAAAAAATAATATAACTTTCACAAAGAAAAAAATGGACAATAGAAACCAAGATAACTAAAAGAGCTCTCTATTCATCTAAACTTGCTTTCTTATCGACAATTCCGCATTATCTTACCAACCAAATAACCTTTAAACCAAGAAATGCTGCCAAAATTGAACAGTTGGTGCAAGAAAAAGCAAATAAAAAAAAATCAAAACTTTACCATCAGATGCATGATTAGATGAGAAAATTCCAAACCCTTTACTGGATTCACTGTATTTGATTCTGCAACCACGTAGTTCTGCTCTGTTTAACTGAATTTGAAGTCCAAGTTAGTGACCCATCATCATTTATGTAAAATTATGTTAAAAGGGTACAAAAGATAAGTTCTCAAGAAACAATTTTGGCACCTTTAGCCATTGAAGAAACTGGTGGAGCTTAGCTTCTTCAGGAGTCGCCATTGCCGAAGACAGTGTTGGAGATTCTGTGTCGCTCTTCGACGAAAACAAAATTGTCGTGTGAAGGGCTTTGATTAAGGGATTGATTAGTAAACTACCCTCAACTATTTCCGAGTTAATAATGCATCCCTTGTAATTTCCAAATGTTACTTAATAACCTTGTAATTCAATTGAATTAGCCAATTAGGTACTATTTTACAGTTCACTCTTATAATTGATAGTAAGTAGTCATTCTTTTTTTAGGTCAAAGGTGATCGATCCATCTCATTATACGATGGGAATAATGCAGCTCGATTATAAGATTTCAATTTAATAAATTAATATCAACCAAATAATAAGAATTTAGTGAAAATGATAAATTATCAATCTCACTAAATTGAAGTCTAACATATTGAAAATACAAGTGAGTCCAGGGGCGGAGCCGGCCAAATGGTGTTGGAAAAACTTTTGCTTTAACAAATACTTATATATATAAGTATTGATATGTCTTGATATACGCTAAATATTCAGTTTGGTGGTTCAATGGTTGTGGAAATTCCTGGAGATCGCGTGTTCTAGTCTTAATGGGATTTTCAAGAAATTGTTTTTTTGCGTAAAAACCCTTTTGAACACTAACAACTCTAACATGTCCTGATTATTTTAGATGGATTCATGAAAATTTAAAGCCATTAGTTATACTCCGCATGATAAATTTTATGTTATGGCAATACATATTTCAGTGCTTAATGAAAAATTCGATTCTCAGGACTGGATTGGACAATCTAGAAACGGGTTTAAGGAATCGAATCTTGAACATCAATGCACACATAGGTATGATATGTTTGTCCCCTGCCCCCTAAAGACACAGTTAGTTTCATTTGGGTTAAATATTTTGAAAAAAAATGTTGTTTGATTGATTGCACATATAAAATATATGTGGAAGGAACGGCATGGTCAGTGAGTGAAAAATATATTTTGACCAACGTCGTATGTAACACCCCGTTACCATGACTTTTTTTAGTCGAGGAGCAATATTGGCCTATTAGACATGTATAACAAAATCCACATTTTGGGTCATCAGAGGCAATTTATGGCTAGGAAAATGGACAAATTAGAAAAATCTGTTGAATAATATTCATTCAAAAAAAGCATGACATAGAGTAAATATAACTTTTTTCTGTAAACGAGCCAAAATGTTCATTTTCTGATGTTTTGAATTATCAAGTGACTTATAGTACTCTTTACGTAGTTTACAAATATATAGATTTCATTTAAAAATATTTGAAGATTACTTACGCAAATGTTTGGTCAAAGTTAAATTGTGTTGATTCTCGAAAAACGAAAAATGTTACACAAAATGGGACTGAGGGAGTGTAAAATAATAAATTATATCTTGATTTCTTAATATAGACAAATAAAAGCGGACGGATGAATTTATTAATTTATTGGAAAAGCCATAAATTCTCTCGTGTAACTTGTTACGAAAAGTCACTTACACGCTTATACTATTGTGACGACCTATTACACACCTGAATTAGTGAACTTATTTCAACCCTGACGCACATACAATCAGTCACATGATGAGAAAGTGCTTCATCACCATGTCACTGTCATATCAATAATTACGTCAGATTTTTAAAAAAAAAATCCATGTCACCAATTTCTTCTTCTTCCCTATTCACCATCAAACCCGCCACTAAATCACTACCATTGTTGCTATTATCATCGAGCTCACTTCTCCACCATCATTGATTTCACCACCGACAATCAAATTCACCAACGTAACCTTCCCACAACCACTGTCATCATAAAAAATTGATAACAAACTTCATAAATTAAACTAAATTCATCATCAAAATCATATCACTATCATTGAAATTCATCACAATCATAATCATAAATTCACCATCCACATCAAAATCACTAATTTCATTGTCATCATCGAAATTAAAATTTATGCTACCACTAATTTTTCACTCATCTCCAAACCCACCACAAATAATTATCACAATATACAAATTTTACTCAAGCTCAAAGCGGAGAATTGTGAAAACGTACAATATCTATTTGCAGATATTTTGAACAACTTCGATCTTTGCGATGATTTTTATCGTGTAATGTTATTTCTATTTTCCATCGATAATTTATCATAAAAAATAATTATTTTTCAGGTTAGCTATAACAAAAGAGTGTTTGTGAGGAGAAAAAAATGGAGAAAGAAGAAAGGTAAGGGTAGCACGAAAGAGAAGGGTGGGGGATGGAAAAAAATTATGTTTTTTCACTTAAACACGTCTTTTTTATTTTTTTATTTAATTTTATTTCCATGTTAGCTTTGAAGGTAATATTAATTTCACTTTTAAATAATATAAACATGTAATAGATCGTCTCAATAGTTTAAGCATGCCTCTAACTCTTCGATATAACTTAAAGTATTGAATTTATATTTTTTTCTCTAATTTATTCAAATAGATAAGATCGATCTAGGTGGGAGAGAATCTTTGATGCAGGTCCATACAAATTATTAGTGAAAGAAGCCTATGTTTTTGGACTCATGGTGCATTTTATTTTGACAAAAAACAAACCATATATGATAAAAAGAATAAAAAAATACAAGTTAAGCTAATTGTAGATAAATATCTTGTGATTAAATTAAATTAATATCATACATCCATACCTGACTAAGAAAGTTGGGATTTCTTTGTCCATATTGTCTTGCACCTAAAAGGCAAATCAACTAAACACCAATTTTTAAATACACTTAATTAAACCTAACGCACTTACTAATCATTTTTATTAGAAGTTATAATATATTATTACCAATGAAGTGGACAAGAAACTCCTAAAAAAAATAAAAATAAAATCTTAATCGCACATGATCAGAGAAGTGGTCCTAGTTGTAATATTGTATTTGCTAATGACTAATACTTTCTTGACAACTAAACTTAGGTTTTAGGTTGTCTATATTTGTCCCTAACAATTGGAGGACAATATATAGCTTTATTAAATTAATAAATAATTCATAATCCATGTTGATTTTTGTTAGAAAATGACTTAGATTTGGACAATTGTACGTAACCTTAGGATAAAAAAAGAATATTCCATTTTCAATCTTCGACTATTTCATCAAATATTTAATTAGGGTTGTTCAAAATTGAATCGAAATCGATAAGATGAATCGATAGAAAAGTTATTGGATTATTGGTTTAGATAATGGTTTTGATCTTTTTTGTTATCGGGTTATCGGTTCTTAACGGTTTGAAGTTTTTTTCTTAACGGGTTAATCGATATCCCGATATTAAATTAAATAATTATATTTATATCATTTTGTATAGAAAGTCCTCGACTTGGAGTTTGATTTCCTACTTTTATTTTTGGTTGTCTCAAACACTTGGTTATTCGACAATGTAAAAGTGTTTGCTTTTGACCAAAATGTAACATGTGAACTCAAGCACATGGTTTATTTGGTTTGTTACCTTATTTCTAAGTGACTTTCAATGTTTTTTCTTTTGTGTCAAATCTTAACGATTAAACCGATAATCGAACCGACAACGATGAAAAATCGATAAACCAATAAGTCAATATCTTAATGGTTTTGTAACAGTTTAGCATCTCTACAAACCGATAACCAACAAGACAACCAATAAACTTCAAAACTGAATCGAACCGATCGATATGCAGCCCTATATTTAATATTACTTTATAATGATACACATTACTAACGGAGTATAATTTTTACATGTTTTATTGATTGTCATGTCACTATTTGAGCAGGGTAAAAAGATGAGTCCGAAGCCTAAAGGGTAAAAAATGTAAATAAAAATTCTAAAACGGTATATGAAATTTCTTTTTGACCAAAAGGGCAAAATCGCTCGCGAAGTAGCGATTTTGTCCATTGGAAAAAGCAAAAATTTGATTTTTTTTAAAAAAATAAAACTAAAACAAAATCGCTCCCGAGGGAGCGATTTTCAATTTTCAAACTTTTTTTTAAAAACCTTTTTAAGTAAGTTGCTGCTTATGCAGCGACATTACCTTAAATTTTTTTTTCTTCTTTTATTTAAAAAAGTTTAAATGAAAAAAATATTTTTTTTAAAATTAAATTGCTGCGATTTTTAATTATTTCTTTTTTAATTTTTAAAAATTAAATCACTAAAAAATTTTTGATTTAAAACCGGTGCCTTGGCAGCGATTAATTTTTTTTTTTAAAAAAAAGGCTAGAGGAAGTAATAAACTGCACATTGTATTTATTAATTTTTTAATAAACATGATTTTTACTTAAATAAGTACACTTATATATTTTGAAGCAAAAAAATAGTACAATTAAATCTCGAGGAGAGAAAATTGTTTACATAAAGAGTGTGTTTAAATATATGCATGCATTTAAACTTTTTTAAATAAAAGAAGCAAAAAAAAATTAAAAAATTTAAGGTAATGTCGCTGCATAAGCAGCGACTTACTTAAAAAGGTTATAAAAAAAATTGAAAATTGAAAATCGCTCCTGAGGGAGCGATTTTGTTATAATTTTTTAATTTTTTTTTTAAAAAAGCAAATTTAACAAATCGCTGATATAGCAGCGATTTTGCTTTTTTCAGTGGACAAAATCGTTACTTCGCGAACGATTTTGCCCTTTTGATTAAAAAGAAATTTCATATACCGTTTTAAAATTTTTGTTAACATTTTTTACCCTTTAGGCTCCGGACTCGTAAAAAGATGATATATTCCTTTCCCCTTTTCAAGGATGCATATCATAGTCATAGTATCAAAGATGAATTATCCCATTTATAATATCATCTAATATTTGAAATATAAGAACCAATGGATTTTGTAGTTCATGACCAATTCATATCAGTTATGATATTGCTTTCCACTGAATAGATTTACAACCACGGAGGACCGCTTGGCAGAATCATAAGAATATACCTGCAATATGTTATTTGCACGGTTCGAAATTATAACTTTTTAATTACATGACAATAATTTTACTTGTTAGCTAAAGCTCCCCTTTGCCACTTGTGTCCATACATTAAAAAGAATTAATATGTGACTGATTGACAGAGCCATAATTTTCATTGAGAAATGTCAAACTATAAAGAAATAAATTTATAAAAAAGTTAAAAAAATATCAATATGTAACATATATGTATACATAAGGAAAATATATTTACCTAGTTATATAATATAATTTTTCGACAAAAAAATATTAATTCGACACCCTTTAAAATATATATACGTGACTCTGCTATTATATATATGTATGGTATGCAGGATGATGAACCACCTTAAAATGGTCGTAAGATGATGTTTTCTTTGACTTTCCACCGGCCGATAGCAATTATCTCCCTTAGTTTAATTTAATTTGCACCACATAAAGATTATTTAGAAAAAAAATACTAATTAATAGAATTTTATCTAAAATTAGAGCAAGATCACTCTTTAAAGCGATATTCCACCGTAATCCTTATTTGCGCTCTCCTTTTCAGTAGTTCTCTTTTATTTTATTTCCTCGTAAATTGTAATGTGACAAGATCAATGTGCTACATGATTTTGATAACGTAATAACGAAAAAAAATATTCTTAATACATTAGACAGACAAATGTAATGAAAGGAATTTTATCTTATTCTCCAACTTTAAAATTTTCATAAGAAATTAAACACATAAATATTAGGACATATTTATGATTATTAAAATCTACCGCTACACAGATATTATGATAAACTTAGGACCATAAATTATATAAAAAAAATTTATAATCACATGAGTATAACATATAATCATGTAATACTTGAAAATCCTGGTTATTTTTAATCTAAATTTTAGTTAGTATATAGCAAATAAATTGAAAGGGATGGCTATTTTCATTTGTCTTTTTTTAGGAGTTAGTGTTATTTAACTAGTCCATATTGTAAAACGTGTCAAAATCTTAGAGATTAATGAGTTACTTGGTTGGAACTGTTCCTACTTACATGGCCCTTGAAATCCCAAAAGGCCTCAACAAATCCCTCTTTAATTTTGCTTACAAAAACCCCACAAAGATTCTTCAAATTCTTATTCATGTGCACACTCACTTTACTCTACAAACATTTTCCCTATAAGTAGACACTACTCAAGAGATTGCATCAACAATATAATATCTTCATTTGTTCTCTTAAGCAGCTTTAAAAATGTAAGCACTTCTATTTTCTCTCTCTCTCTCTCTATATATCTCTTCATATTTTTACTCAGAAAATCTAAGCTACACCATACATGATATTGGAAACCAAACATACATAGCCGTCCATCTAACTGATTAAACTAAAAGTTCTGGAGGGACGTATGATATATATATATATATAATTTATATGTACTCATTAAAAAAAGTAAATAAATTTATCTGATTATTTGTATATATAAATAAAGATCCTGGCCCTAGCTATTCTAATAATAATAATTCTCGTTCATGAATCATGATCATGATTAGCTGCATTTATATATTTTCGTTCTGTTTTATTGAATGTTTGAAAAGTTCTAAGTACCTCACTTTGTTCCTATAATTAGTTTTTTCATAGTTTGATTTGATACAAACTTGTTAGTTGTAGTTGTTAAAAAAAGACGTTGAAACTTGTGATCATGAGAGATTTTTGAGACGTGTGGTGTTAATTAAATAGGTTTCTTATTAAGGAAATCTTAGAATGTATTTTCATTTATTTAAAATAGCCAATAAAAAAGTAATGGTCTTCAAATCTAGAGTAGCTTTATTCTAGTTTTTATATCTTATTATGTACATATTTGTATATAAACAAAAATCCAGTTCCCACTAATTAATTATTGTGTGGACCTGCTGCTTTGTTTTTTGCCTTGCCATTTTTTTCCATCTTTTTTTCTTTTTAGTGGAAGTGGAAAAAGATAAAATAGGCAAATAATATGTTGATTAAATTTATATCGCACACTTTTAATTTTCTCGGCACAGTTGCCATAATAATAATAATATTAATTATTAAAGCATTTGGATAAATGCACGATAATCTCTTGTTTCTAAAATGACTGGGATGAGTTAGTTATGAGGAGAATTTTTAGTGAAAATGATTTTATGAATTAATTAAATTTATTATATATAACTTTTATGAATTACTAATTTAGAATAATTCTTTGATAAGATAAATATAAACCTAAGAAATAATTTTTTCTATTTCAATTTATAACATGTAAAATCAAACCATTTAAATTTTAATAAAAATTTACTTCATATTCAATTTTTTAAAAATAAAATTTATATACTTATAAATTACAATAAAAAAAATACTGCGTTATTTAAAACCAACAAAAGAGTAGTACGATTGTGGCCATAAATAAAATACTATCAACATCAAGAATCCAAAAGAGGGAGAAAAAAGAAAAAAGATCATGTACCACTTGCAAAATGCGAGTGCCACGTGTTAGTCATAACTGAATATAACAGTATTAAAAAACTCAAAATCAAATTCGT